GCGATGTGTGCAGCCGGCAAGATAGGATCAGCGGCGGGAGAACCAGTTGGAAGTCCAGACTCCGTCATTGCTGTCGAAGGGATGTGGCACGGTTGATGAGAAGCTATAGGTCCGAGCCCGGGTCACCAATGTAGCGCTGAAAACACGTGGACTTCCATGCTACTTAAAATAGAAACTATTTTTAATTATCATTATAAATTCGGAGCTAGCTAACTGACCGAGCGCCGGGATTTGTTGGAATGAGAATGGCGGTTTTTTTAGCGCTTCAGCCTCGGGGCGCGCGTGTTCATGCCCCTGTAGTGTATGTAGTGTAGTGGAATGTAAGATGAAGGAACCCCGATTCAGTTGTACGCCTTTTCATCGTCTTCTTTCTTTATCATCTCATTTCTGCTTCGTCTTTCTTTTCTTTAAACACTACATTTCCCCCGTTTTTTAAAGGAAATGCACATACTAAAACAACCAAAGCAGAAAAGAAGCATCTAAATAAACAAAGTTGTCGAGTCAACGAAAACCCGAGTGCCTATATGGCAATGTTCATGTCACATAACTTCCTAGTCTTTCCGGAGGTTTTCGTTGTCTGCAACTCCTGCGAAGAGGTTGGAGTTGAAGTTCTTGTCGGTGGGTGTCTGTACCATTTGACAATGATCTCGATTCCGGTCGGTCTCCCGCCGGGGAAAACTCAAGTGACTGGGGCGTGTTTGGTGGAGGATTCCACGAAGTGGCAGGTGACAGCCCGTTGTCTGTCCCCGAAGTAAGTCGTGGCAGGACTTCTTGTGGTAGTTTTGAGAGTTTGCTTGCAATCCACACCTTGTAATCGTCGAGCACGAATGCATTCGATCCTCGACGCTCCAGTATCTTGCGTGGCTTGGAGTATCTCAAACTCCCCTTGGCGTGATGACCTGGCAACTTCACGCGAACGAAATCGCCTGGCTGAAAAGCTGGCGTACGTGCGCCTCTCTTCTGGTCTACGTACTCTTGAGCAGCAAGCTGCTGTCTTCTAATTCGCTCTCTCAGCTCCGTCATTGCTCCGGTCGGTTCCGTGAAAAAGTTTTCTGATGGCCATCCGACGACATTCAGCTTGGTCCGCGGATGCCGATTGTGCAACAGGAATGCGGGCGACACACCCGTAGTTGAGTGTGGTGTTGCACGGTATACTCCGACATATTCGGTCAGTGTTTCTTCGAGGTTTCGTTGTTCAAGGAGAGCCAGCTGAATAAACCCCTTCAGCACTCGGTTAAATCTTTCAATCACACCATTTGACTGTGTGTAGTAAACGGATGAGAACGTATGTCGAATGCCACGTTCCCGTAAAAATTCTTCGAATTCTGCCGATGTAAATTGGCTTCCGTGGTCTGAGACGATTTCTGTCGGATATCCTTCACGGCTGAAAAGCGTCCGCAGGAATGCAGTCACTGTTTCGCTGGTTACCGTGCTAGCCAAAACAATTTCAGGCCAGCGACTGTAGTAGTCCATGACGGTGACCACGAAACGATGTCGTTGGGGTGCTTTTTCGATGGGACCAACGATATCGATGCCCAGCTTCTCCCAGGGACGTGCGGGAAGCGGTATTGGTTGTAGTGGAGCAGGAAAAGTCTTTGCAGACTTATCAGCTGTCTGGCAGGTCAGGCAACCACGAACAGCGTGTTCCGCTGCTGCATCCATGGCTGGCCACCAGTACCACTGCCTCAATCGTTGCTTGGTTCGGACGATTCCCAAGTGTGAATCATGAGCCAAGGCGATGATTTTAGTAGTCATTACAGTTGGAACTACGATTCTCTCGCCACGTAGGAGCAATCCATCGACCTCTGACAGCTCGGATCTCACTTGGTAGTAGGGTAACACTTCAGTAGTTACCTTGGTCTTAGATGGCCAGGTTGTAACGACGAAATGCTTGATTTTTTTAAGTACCGAGTCAGCGGCTGTAGCAGACTGCAGGTCGTTCTTCGAAATGGGTTGTTCAGTTATGACGGAGATAACTTCCTCTTCAATCAGGTCAGGAGACGCATCAGGTAATGGTAGTCGGGAAAGTGCATCTGCGATGACGTTGTCTTCGCCCTTCTTGTAGTGCACTACAAAGTTATAGTTGAGCAGACGTGCTGTCCATCGAGCGATTCTGAGCGGACGGTGACCCGTGCCTTGAGAGCTCAGTAGGGTGGTAAGTGCTTGGTGGTCTGTGCAGAGGGTGAATGGTCTTCCCCAGAGATACACGTGCCAATGCTCTAGTGCCCAAACGCATGCGAGGGCTTCCCGTTCCCCAACAGAGTATTTGCGCTCTGCCGGTGAAAGTGTTCTTGAAGCAAACGCAACGGTCTGCAGATCGGATCCGTTGGCCTGCTGGAGCACTGCGCCAATACCGTATCCGGACGCATCCGTTGTGACAAGAACTGGCAATCCTGGACTGAACATGGCAAGCGCGTTGCAGTTGGCAATCAGCAGCTTGATTCTATCGAAGCACCATTGTGCTGTGTTCGTCCAAACGAATGTCTTCTCGCCACGTAGAAGATCTCTTAGTGGTTCAACTTCATCCGAGTAGTTGCGAAGGAACCTTGCGTAATATCCCGCAAGTCCTAAAAAGGAGCGCAGGGAATGATGGTCCTTTGGTATAGGCGCATCTTGAATAGCTTGAACGTTTTCTTGTAGAGGAGTCACACCTTGAGAAGTGATAGTATGTCCTACGAATGTCAATTCTGTTACTCCGAAAACACACTTGTCGTTTAGCTTCAGGCCAGTGTCTGAGATGCGCTGCAGAACTTTTGTCAAGTTCTTTGCATGGTCCTCTGCGTCAGCACCAAAGATGATAATGTCGTCGAGATAGCAAAGGACACCCGAACATCCTACGAAAATGTCGTGCATCATCTTCTGGAAAGCTGAAGGTGCAGATGCCAAGCCAAAGCACACTCTCTTGTAGCGGTAGAGGCCTTCGTGTGTAATGAAAGCAGTTAGGTCACGGCTTTCAGGCGACAAAAGAACCTGGTGGTAAGCTGCTGTTAAGTCCAGCTTGGAGAATACCTTGGCTCCATCCAAGGCGTTGAGTAGCTCTTCCGTGTTTGGTAATGGAAAGCAGTCGACGACAATTGCTTTGTTGGGAGCACGAAGATCCACGCATAGTCGTAGCTTTCCGTCTTTTTTTCTTACAACAACAATGGGTGATACCCATTCAGATGCGGTGACTGGCTCGATAATGTCCATATCGAGTAAACGCAGAAGCTCTTTAGACACTTCTTCACGAATGGTAAGTGGCAGTCGACGGAGCTTTACTGCAACAGGAGGAACGTCTCTCTTCACCTTGACTAGATGCTCGTAACCTTTTGCCATGCCTATTCCTGGTGTGAACAGGTGAGCGTAGGTAGAGTCGATGATAGATTTCAAGTCCGTAGAGATCGGTGTAGAGGTCTCCATGCACTGCAGGGTAGATCCGTCAATGTGAAGTCGAAGTGCGGAAAGTCCGTCCAGTCCCAGCAATGTTGATCCTTGTGAGACGACGTAAAGCACAAGTGATGCTGAGGACCCTTTGTACGTGACTGTTGCCACGAAACATCCAAGAAGCGGAATGCGCTGCCTTGAGTAATTTTGTAGTTGTACTGCAGCTGGTTGGAGTAGATGTTTGTCCGCAAATTCGCTCTGGTAGATTTCATGGGAGAGAATGGAAACTGCAGAACCAGTGTCAAGTAGGAACTTGACATCTTGTTGTTCTACTTGCATTATCACATAGATTCCAGCTTTGTGCACTTCTCCAACTTCCAGCACTTTTGTAACTGAGTCACGTTCTTTTTCCTTTTCAAGGGAACTGAGTTCTTCATTAGTAGTGGTGAAAGAACTCACCACCTCCATTGTTGACGCCGTACCCCGACAAACAGAGCTCAGATGTCCTTGTTTTCTGCATTTGGTGCAAGTCTTGCTCCTTGCGGGACATGTAGCAGCATTTGCTAAGTGATCTGCTGATCCACAGCGGTAGCATGTTCTCTGCTGTCTGGCTGGTGCGTCAACGCCTGGCTGAATTTTGGACTTCGAGCTCTTTCCCTTGGTTTTTCGTAGTTTGTGGACGACCGCAGGCGGGTCAGTGGATGCCTGTACTTCTTTTTTGAACTGTTCCACGCTGCGGGCCAAGTTCAAAGCCTTTTCGAGGGAAAGGGCAGAACCTTCTAGTAGGAGTCGTTCTCGAACGTGAGTCATCGAAGCTCCCTCTACCAGTTGATCACGTAGCGCTTCGTCCGATGCGGAGCCGAAGCTGCAGGTCTGCGAAAGTCCTCGTAATGCCGTGAGGAATTCGTCAATCGTTTCACCAGGAATTTGTGTACGCTGGCGAAACTTGCGGCGTTCTGTGATAACGTTGTACGTCGCTGCGTAGCGGGCCTCCAGAGTCGCGAGAGCATCTTGGTACACGTCAGTGGTAGTAGTAACACTTGACGTGGACGCGGTTGCGGTAGGAATTGTGCTAGGGGAAGCAGCAGAGACGTGAGGCAACGTGAAGAAGACTCGCTGTCCTTCCGTTCCTAAGGCATGTAGCAGCAGTGCCTTCTTTCGCTTCGGCGTAAGGGAAGACTCTTCGACGCAGTCAAGGTAGTTCTCGAACATTCGGCGCCATTGGTCCCACGGAACCGGGGGTCTTCCAGGCCGTTCAAGAAACGAAGGAAGCGGCGGCAGCGTTGCGTGACTCATTTCTAGGTCCACATAGTATGCGCTGCAAGATCAGTAAGTTGAAATCCACTTTACCTCGTCGCCAAATGTAGTGTATGTAGTGTAGTGGAATGTAAGATGAAGGAACGCCGATTCAGTTGTACGCCTTTTCATCGTCTTCTTTCTTTATCATCTCATTTCTGCTTCGTCTTTCTTTTCTTTAAACACTACAGCCCCAGTGGTCTTTCGCACGTGCAAAAGGCGCACTGGAGCTTGTCGGCGATGCTTCTTCTTTACTGGCATCTGTTGGGTCTTTTGACGGCCACAAATTATTTATTTGCCCACGACAGGAGCTAGGTTCTACACTTTCGGTTTCGATGCAGATCTTCCAAAGGGGGGTCCAAAGATCGGAGGCTCCCACACGCACTACAGGGTCGGCGACACCGTGGACGTCTACTACAACTCCCCGAAGTCGAGGACAGCGGTCAGCGTCAGCTGGTTCCTCAACGGAATACCTGTGGTACCGCTACACTTCGTGATCATTACTCCCAATCCTTTCGCCGGTTTCGAGGCTTTCGACAGCAGGCTCCGCTTCAGTATGCCCGAGGACGGCTTTATCAATGGAACAGCGTCGATGAAATGCGTGGCAACCATTCCTTCCGTGTAGGAAATGGCCGACGAGAAGATTGTCCGCCAAAGCTACGGTCCTGACGGCGCTACTGCAGCAGTTACGACTGCTGATGATGAGTGCCTCTCGAAGTTAATTTCGATCATACGGAAGATGTAGGGTGCCAACCTGTGAGGCCAACGTTTGTAAATTCCGATCAACATTGGGTTGCTACTCTTTCCTTTGTCTATGAAAACTTGTGGCCCCACCGTATTAAACAACTGTCATATTCATGGAAAGGGTTATATATATATTTATATATATATAGGTTTTTTTTTTATTCTTTCAGATTTGTTTAAAAAAAAACGTGAAAGCTACACTTATGCGGTTTGTGCAGGTCGGTTATACAGCCAGGCGGACATTATGTGGGTGGCTAATCTTTGCAATAAGTCAGCTAATTAATTAAAATTCGTTAATTAACTTTCTAATTAGTGAAAATAGACAGATGGTTCCAATTAGAAACTTCTAGAGCATCATCGAAAATCACCAAATTAACTCTCTTTAGAAGGATAGAACGCCGGGGTAGGATTTTACGGCGTTCTGTAAAAACGCCCCATTTGGACGGGTTTCCAGATTTCGTTTTCTTGCAATGGGAAGGAGCTGAGCTAGTTGGTTGTACATTTCTTATCGGAGCGCATCTACGCGTAAAGCACTGAATGAGGTACGAAATATTATTCACTGCTTTATTTACGCGCCCGCGGTCCTGCTCCCCAGTGGCCGAGACGCGCAACACACGTGCGCCCTTCTTCCCTCCGTTCTACGAGGGAGGCGAGGGGGTGGCTTCGCGCCGCGACCACCAGGGAGCAGGACCGCGGGCGCAAAGATGCGCTCCGATAAGAAACCGAAATCTAGAGACGCGTCCAAATGGGGCGTTTTTACAGAACGCCTTAAAACCCTTCCCCGGCGTTATATCCTTCTAAAAAGAGTTGATTTGGTGGTTTTCGATGATGCTCTACAAGTTTCTAATTGGAACCACATATTTATTTTCACTAATTAAAAAGTAAATTAACGAATTTTAATTAATTAGCCGATTTATCGCAAAGATTAGCCACCCACATAATGTCGACGTGGCCGTATAACCCACGTGCACAAACCGCATAAGTGTAGCTTTCACGGCTTTTCTTTAAACAAATCTGAAAAAATAAAAAAGCACCCTGTATATATATCAGACTTGTACACGTTACTGAAAAAAAGTAACTGATTACAATTACAATTACTACAGTCAAAAAAGTAACCGATTACCGTTACTGATTACTGCCTCCCAGAAGTAATTGAACAATTACTGCAAAGTAATTGATTACTTTTCAAGTTACTTTCACGTTACTTCTTATTGCGATGACAGAAATACACAAATACACAGTAAAATATTGCGTACACAATTTTGTTTGGTTATTGTTCCCTTTTTTGTTTTCAGACCCGGACCTTGTCGTGTAGCTGACGCGTCGACCTAAGGAACAAAGCCCACTAAAAAGTCAATAGCGAGTTCCCGCTTCCCGTCGACTTTATCAGCAATCTGCAACGAGATCCGGAACTCCCCAGCCAAGGCTGGTGGCGCGCTTGTAGAAGAGCGTGGCGCAAAAGAAAAAAGGATTTGCCGACTAATCCTAGTTTTATTTTTTTTAGATGTTAAAAAAATGTCAATCATTTTTGCTCCATGGCTGAGTGACTATGTTGATTTTTGTGAGAAAAAAAAATTGTGGAATGAAAAATGTAATTGGTAATTGTGTAATTGATTTTGTAATTGATTACAGAAAAAAAGTAATTGAATTACTCCGAGCGTTACAGCTTGACAAATGTAATTGAAGCGTTACAAAATTACACTTAACTGTAATTGATTACAAGTAATCAATTACTTGTAACGCGTTACGTACAAGTCTGATATATATATATATATATATATATATACAGGGTGTTTTTTTTAGCTTAACAGATTTGTTTAAAAAAAGCCGTTAGAGATACACTCATACCGCTTTTGAAGTTGAGTTATACGACCAGGGGGACATATTATAGGGAGCTAATCATAACGATCAGTTCTCTAATTAATTAAATTTGCTAATTAACTTTTTAAATAATGAAAAGAGACATATGGTTCGAATTAGATACTTGCTCAGCATCATCAAAAACCACTAAATCAGTCATATTCAGAAAGACTGTCGGCGCGTCAGAAGCGTAGTATTGTACTAAAGTTACCAGTCGTGGAGCAGAACTGTAACCGTTACCAAATATACTAAAAAAAAGGCTTATTGTATTTTGCAAATGAAGTGGCACTTTCTAATGCTCACATGTTTCCACTGTGCAAGGACGACTCTCATGGGCGTACCAACTGGGGGGAAGCAAAGGGCCTCCTTACTTGCCCCCCTCTCCCCCAGTTTTCAGAGTAAGAGGCCAAGGGCATTGTTTTTGCCCCCCCCCCCCCCCCCCCCCCCCCCCCCACCCCCAAATAGCCGCCACTGTGCAGGGCAAACGGGGCCCAAGGGATACCAAGAGAACCGCACCCCGGCCCTGGGGGGGGGGGGGGGGGGGGGGTGCGTCCGGTTTGCCCCCTCACTCAAGAACAACTTGGTACGCCACTCACGACTCCTACTATTAAAGGGCGATACCGGCCAAATTTGCAAGGCAATAGAAAATGCAGTGGGACCGTGGCCTTAACGACTAAAAGCCCAAACTCATTACTTTCTGGCAATTCTCCCTGCTGAGACAGAGTTTGTGCAGTTGAGCTACGTCCTTGAGTAAAGAGCTTGCACTAATAGCCTCGTAGGGGTATTGTCCTTTTGGCCGATTTGTGAGAAAGGGCAGAGTGCGAAGCCAATATTTAGACAAGACAATTCCGAGTCCAAAATTAACGATGTAGTGCAAAACGCTTGGAAAGAGTGGAGCGTTTTTTCGAGTGCAAATGAGTCAACGACATGAAACGACTTTTTGGCGGCGAATGCAGCTCTTCAGGCACGGAAATGGGGCTCGCAGCCGCGGACCGCGTGTTTGAGACCCTTGATCTAGCAGGGTGTCTAACAAATTATTACTTTGAAATTCCCCGACTTTTCCATGTTTTCCCTGACAATTTCAGGTGATATCCCCTGACCATTGTAGATGCGGTTAAATATATAAGACAAACATCTTGGAAAGAAACAGCGGCTAAGAGACTTGTATAAGAGTAAAGAAACAAACACGACAGGACGGCACTGAACTAACTGTTGTTTATTACACAAAAGGGGGAAGGAAAAAAACAAGAAACATCTTAATCAGAAATCCCCATCTTCATCGGGTTTGCCATAACCTTAAACAAGTCGGAGGTCGCTACGGTGTCCCAGTGGTAGTCTCTGCCCCACAGAAGATGGGTCAGATATGTGCAAAGGTCGGTGCTATTGGCGAAAAACGGTCGAAAAAGAAATGCACCAAAAAGCATGTGGTACCGTTTGTGGCTTGTGTGTCTGGCGTGGTTTATAAGATCCCCTTGTCGTGTGGCAAGGTGTACGTTCGACAGTCGGGCGGCTGCCAAACGATAGACTTAGAGAACTTTCGTGTTCACTAGGGATGCCGGGAAAGTTTTTCGAATAAAAGTTTAGACTATCGAATCAATCGGTCGAAAGGTTCGAAATGTTTCGATTTTCAAACTTTCTATATTGTAAAACCCGACTGAAGTCGAATTTTCGAACTTGTTAAACTAAGAAGTCAGACGTTTTTCGAACCGTCGAACTTATGACGCTAAAAAATTCTATCCTTTTCGAACTTCCGAACTTATTACGCTGAAAAATTCGATGCTTGTCGAACTTTCGAACTTGATATACCGAAAAATTCGACGATTTTCAAACTTTTTGCACTAAAAAATTTGAAGCTTTTCGAACTTTCAAATTTCCTACGCTAAGGAATTCGATAATTTTCGAACTTTTCAACTTATTTATCAAGAGAATTTAACAATTTTCGAATTTTCGAATCCTCACATGTCAAAAGCTCGACGAACTTCGAACTTTTAGGGTAAAAGTTTGACGTTCGTCGAACTTCGAAAGACCGGCGGATGGTTTCATTTGAATTCAAGTAGTGAGGTACATTCGTAATATTTTTTTCTCAAGTTTTTACATGCGGTGTCTCGTTCCTTACGAAAGACAATGCCTTTTATTTCAATGTCCTGGCGGGCTTAGTTTTAAAGAAATAACTTCCCGAAGGGGAGAAGAAGAACGACAGCTTTTCGACGATTGTCGTTTGTGCCGTATTTGAAGTGCGCTATAGCCGAAGCTATTTATGGTAGAGATGTTAAACTTTTTTAAGAATGTTCTATGTATAGCCTAGGTAAGAGTCGTCTTAAGATCTAATTATTGTTATCTAAGATAAGTTTGGAAGAAATGTCCAAACATGTATCTATGGGGAGTTATGCCCTAAACTTGGTATTTTTTTTTCATCTAAGTTGTTTGAGGTAGCGCATTTAAATTAACACTGCAGACAGTACATATCATTGTCATATGCAGAATACAAAACAATGTATTTATTATTTTTTCACGTTCAGGGTTAAATTAACTCATTGGAGAAGCTATCTAATATTGTTCAAGTTCAGCACGTCATTAAAAATAAAAATTTGTTTTCTCGCTTCACGTTCTTGGGACGTGTTTCTTTTAGCCTGCACACATTTTGGTAGGAGAAACTTGTTTCGAAGTTCTGAGCTTCTGAATATGCAAGAATACAACACTTCCGGCGAATTTTTGAGACTATTTTTTTTATTCAGCCCTTTATATCCGCATTTATTGTTATGTTTATTTTTTAATTTCGTTTTATCAATGGCACAGTTATTTAGGTCGAAAAGACATAGCTGTGAACTTCCGAACCACTAAGCAAGTGACAAGTAGTGCCTTCTGACAACGAGTTTTCGAGAATGACCATCTACTCGACCTTTTATGCAGTGAAGAGCGACAGTCTATACATATGCATAAATAATTTCAGATTAAAATAACCTCGACCATGCCCTCTTTCCCCGTATTGTTTTCTTTAACAGTCCAAAATATCTGGAAAGG